TACATATATCTTCAAAGAAAAGGAATATTGACAGTGCAAAGGTGACTCATTCTGGAGTTTTGGAAAGAAATACCCTCGCTTTACTTACTCTCTTTCCATACATGAAATTGAAAAAGTTGTCACTGGTGTTCTCAGACTTGCAGTATTATAACAGACTGTTTCCACAAGTACTGTGTAAACTATAAAAATGATGCATTTATTTCTTCCATGTCTTTACACTAAAAAAACTAAATATAATGCCAAGGAAACATAATTAAAATTTTTTCTTATGAAATCTGATATTGTTTAACTAAATCTCTCAGTTACAAAACTGAGAGATTTGTAAATACAAAGCAGAAAGGGAAATATTTAAACTAAAATAAAGCAGACTTTTTCTTCTGGCTGAAGTTTTTTGGTTTTGGGGTTTTTAAAATAATTTTTGGTAACTTTGTAACTACCTCAGATATCACATTCTTAAAATGCATAACCATTTCATTCAATGGTAGCAACATTATGCATAGTGTCTATATGTCCAGATTACTTTTTCACCTGTTTAAACATGACCTGTGGGCAAAAGGGGACTATTTCCATTTGATGCTATAAGCAAAAACATTGTTCTACTTAAATACTTACTTCTATTAAAAAAAAAAAAAAAAAAAGAAAAAGAAAAAGAAAAAGAAAATTGTTTTCATTCCAGTTCCTAGAAGGTGAGATTTTACATTGCAGTCTGACATTTGGCATGGGCTGGCATATTTGTTGGCACAAACTCAAGGTTTAATGAGGCTTAAGAGAGTTTTACAGCCTCTATAATCAGAGGCTAACATTGAGCTTGCTGCTAGCTGTACGCAAGGCATGTGATTTGTGCACCCCACACTCTGTGAGAACGTAAAGTAAAACAAATTGCTGACTTCCACATCACTAGGGCTACATAAAATCCATGCCACTTTGGGTGGCACAGGTTCCCTGGGGAGATGGAGCCCATCTTCCTGGGAAGCTGTGTTTGTGCCCATCTCTGTGGTGCTGTGTGTGAATGGGTTGCTGTGCTTTACTCCCTGCTTGTTTCTGAAGCACAGACACCAAATCTCTGCTTTTGCTCTGAACTTCCCCATAAAAAGGCTTCTGAGATTGAATCCTTATGCCAGCAGGAAAGAGGAGGAAAGCATATTATTTCTTACACTCTCCCACAGGGGATCCTAAATTAAAAGCTTGACAAACCATCCTAGGCTTGCTGAAAGAAGCCCTGCTAGGCTGGAAATCCAGGGATGGTAGAGTGCAGGCATGACTGCATGCAGTCTCTCACGTGTCATGGTTTATCCACAGTTTATCAGTGGATTAATTCAGTGCTTTGAACTCGGGCTAGGGGTGCTTGCATACCATAGCTATAGCTTACCAAACCCTGCAACATAAAGGTAATTCTTGATTATGTTGAAATCATACTTGATTATGTCAAACGTTCAGTAATAAGTGGTGAGTCTGCAAAAATGAAGTTATATTTTGGGAAGGTCCTGCTAAAATTGCATTCATTTCACTAACAAGTGCATCAAACATCCTTATAAGATGTCAACCAAGGAAGTCACTTAGGGTCTTGCCTCTACATGTTAGAGATTATTATATTCCTTAGTTTTGGAGAGTCAGGCTTTTTTCAACATTGTGCTTCCAGTGAATTTGAATTAAGGAGTGATGAAAGTTTGAGGTTGAGTGATTAAATAAGATATTCATGGGACTACCTGATGGATCTAGCTCATTTATGCTTATGCAGGCTAGAAAATTTGGTTATAATAGACTGTGTGAGGTAACTACACCTCCCCGGATACCATGTTTCTAATAGCTGAAATTGTTTTGTTCTGGCAAGAATATTTAGGTTTGTTACAATGGCTTTTGTGATGTCAGTAATAGATATTACACAAATATTTTATTATTTCTTCTGTGAGAACATGGCTTAAAAAAAATACTCTTTTTGTGGTGGATTAGAAGGATAATTAAAGAATAGGACTTAAACTGTCTAATTCTCAGTAAGCTGTTCACTGTGTACAGAGAAAACTCCCAGTCCTTGGGATCTCCAAAATGTGCAGTTCAATAATAAGCATAATTCTGGAAAGGGATTTCACTGAAGCGTTTGTTTCTTTGTTAAAGCAACCTGTCCTCTAAGATCAGATTTCTTACAGTAGAAATCAAGTTGGTATTGGTTTTATCCCTGAGGAAAGGCAAAATTCACCAAGTGATGAAGAAAAACTACAAGCAAAGATTATTTTTGTATCATTAAGGATGAAAGTTGCTTGTATATTTTTTTATTGTCAAATAAAATTTTTAATATTTAGAGAGCTGTCTGTAGCATCCTTCTCTATATAGGTTTTTCTGCTTTCAATGTTTGGTTAAGCTCTCAAGGCATGGAATAGAATTGCCCTGAATGTCAGTAAATGTCTACTTCATTTTTTGCCAAAAACTTTTGTTTGAGAGAGATGAAAGGGAATGTGAAAGAACTTACAGCATCTTTGCAGCCACTGCTTTCTCTAAGCAACAACAACCATATATTAAATCTTTTAAAAAATCAAAATTTCTTGGGTGATTGTGTGGTAAATTTTGTTGAATGAAAATAAAATTTAATTAAATTCCCTCCCTACTTGCTTGAGTAGCCCAGAGAGTGTAATAAGCTGTAAGGTTCAGCATTAAAAGAAATAAAACTAATAAATCATTGTGAGAATATTTGTTTCACAGCTTTCCTTCCCCTCACGAATGGTGTTGAGTTTCCATAGTCTAGTAACCTGGCATAAGGTGTTCTTTGCATCAGCAACTCGATGGAGGCAGATTATTTTTCAGGAGCCTTGGAAAGAATAATACCATTTCAAAGAGGTTGAAATTCCAAGAAAATAATGGATTTTGATAAATGAAAGTTTTGGAAATTTGTTGCTGTCTTTGTCTCTTGTTTGAAATCAGTCATGATGATGATGATGATCTTTTACATCAGCCATGGTGTTCTCATTGTTAAGCACTGTCAGTCAGTGGGGCAGTAAGGAGGGACATCCTGTTGTGCCATCCCTGTGCTCACATTTACCCCGTGCTGGGTGGGAAACCATCCCACTTTATCTGGGCTTTCCTGGTGTATCAAATGTACAGTTAGGAGAAGGTTCGGTTTCACCTTACAGCCTCCAAGTGTTGTGGTAAAGTTAATAATGCCCCAGGAAAAGGGATGAGCACGAGTTCCTGAGGCTGGTTGGGAGAATTTCAGAGGGCCAGAGTTACTGGTGTTAATGGCACTGTGCTGATGAGTCTCCCAGGGGCCTGGGACCATCCTAGCTAAAGCTTACAGGGAGGAGTTTTTTAAAGTGATAAAAACAGTTGATTTCTCAAGCTAAAAAAAGACTTCTGAAAGTCCTGTGAACAATTTTCATATATACTTAGGTTCTTTTTCAGTTTTTTAGGCACAGATTGTAAATCTTGATCATATATCTGTTGTCAAGGCACAAGAGAAACACTATTCAGTTTTTTTTTCATATTACCATAAATAAGTGTATGTAGGAAACTCAGCTCCTGAAACCTGTCTCACATCTAAATTAATCAAAACACAATTATCTTTCAGTAACTGAAGATGTTTTTCATCTTCCTATGAAAGTAGTTAATTAATTTGAGTTATGTATCATATTTATCAATGCACATTATATTCTGATAAGTGTTCTTTCAGTCATTAGTTCTCTACTAGACAGGCATGAATCCTAGGACTTCAACTTTTGCCTGCTATTAAAAATGGCTTTCCAAGTAATTTAAAAAAAATAAAATTGCCTTCAGCTAAGTATGTGTTTTGCAGAAGGTGCATACTTTAGGCACACTTGGTGCATTTTTTTTTAATAGAGCACATATACAGAATTTTTTCTGTTTTGAGAGTTTTGTTTTATAAAACATCAGTATATATATATATATATATATATATATATATATATATATATATATATATATATATCCTTTACCAACAGTGACAAGCTATATTGTCCCAGACAAAGTTTGGAACTGAGAACTGTGGGCTCAGATCGTACATTTATGAATATCCATTATAGCAGAGCTCATTTTCATAGAGTCACAAGGAACACAATTCAATCCTAATATTCATGAAGAAATAAAGCATAATTATATGTTAAATATTTTAACAAAGACAAATTGATTATTAAGGTTTTATTTTTCCACTCTCAGCTCTTGAGAAATCTCCCTTCTGTAATTACAGAAAAGTAAAACAATCTGACTGGGGCCCAAAATATATTGGCTAAGCAAAGATGGGAAGGCTGAGCTTTCTTGAAGGCAGCAAGTATTACTTATACTGCAGTTGCTTAAGCTATTCCTGTAACAGGCCTGATCCTGCACTGCTGAGATCAAAGGATGTTTTCACTTCGCTTTGTAGAAAAAGGTTTTATGTAGAAAAATACCTCTCCTTCTACAGTTCTGTAAGTTTGGTCCAAACCCGTAAACAAACAACTGAATGAACAGACACATTTAGGCTTGGCTGAATAATTTTATTTTTCTTTTGAGTAAGCCACACATGATGATGAAGAGCAAAGTAAAATTTGACCTTGAAAATGATAAAAACGTATTCTTAGTGAAGCCCCCTGTTAGGAAAAGGAAGTAAAAGGTTTTTATGTAGTTCTCATTGATCTTGTGGGTTTTCTGTGGTCATAAACTTCAGAATGTATTGAACACATTGATTAATTTAATAAATTATGTTCCTTAAAAAGCAAAGCTGTAAATAATAATATCCATTAAAATAAGAATTAATTAGATGAATGAATAAGAGCGTAGCCTGATTTTTATGAGCTATATCTATCTACTTAATGTGCAAAATAATTGTATTCAAACTGGGAAAAGAAACTTTGTTTTACCTCAGTCATTGTATTATTATCTAGTGTTCTAATGAGGCTTTTTCTTCCCTCTCTGGCCCCATTTGTGCCCAAAGATGTCTTTATTTAGAAAGAATTGCAGCTGAGAAGCAAAAAATGTGAGTGAACTTCTTAACTGTGCTACTGTTTTTACTATTTCAGAGCTGCAAGAAACTAAGACCTCTGAGTATCACAGGATATCCCACAGCCCCCTGGATTACAGGATATTATTGATGGATGAAGATCAGGATCGGATCTATGTGGGGAGTAAAGATCATATTCTGTCTCTGAATATTAACAATATAAGCCAAGACCCCCTCAGTGTAAGTTCAAGTTTTATTTTGAGAATCTTTGAGATTGCTTTACTCCATGCCTTTCTTTGTAAGACAAAAAAAAAATAGCACACCTTATGGAATTTTTAGTCCTTGTTTTATGTGTAATGCAGATGAAACTATATGCTGTTCCTCAAACACTGTTTAAAACTGGCCTATTTGCTCATTTTGAAGCAATATTCTGCTTTGCCTGGCCTCACAAGGAAAATCTGTGTGGTTTGACACTCTCCACCTCTCTCCAAGATAAGATGGTTCAGAGATGCACTTTTAGAAGAATCCTCAAGGAAGAAGATACACACTATCATTCCCAGGCCACATAGAAAAAAAAGCAAGGACAGCATTGTCCTTAACCTTATACTACATTTTTTTAATGTTTTGTGCTCTGGCCCCTAATCACTAAACTATTTTCCAATCTCCTGTTATGTCTGTGTCAACTTTTGCCCTTCAGTTGGGTAGCTGAGACACTTTATTTGGGGTTTTTGGGTACCATGACACACATATGTCCCTTGACACCACCTATTTTCTGGCTTCTCTCACTTACTGAGATGGTGTTTCCCAAGGACTTTGTGTTCCCTCACCAAAAAGTAGTAAACAACCTCTGTGTGAAAATAATAATGTTATCAAATGCTTACAGATTCCTCTCTTGTCTCCAAAGCCAATTGAAATTCAGCCTCTCTGCTTTTGAAATAGGTGAGCTGCAGAAGTTCTTGTGTGCCCAGAAGCTTGGCTGTTGAGCTATTACCTGTCTACAGACTTTTTCTTGCCTGTGTTTAGACAGTCACAGCTACTGCCCTGCCTGAAGGTGTACCATAAAGACCTTGTTCCACCAAATCCATCCAGTCCTTTATTACTGTATCTCAGAAGGGCTGAGAGGCAGCGATACCTGGCTTGCAGCAGGGAAGATAAATGCCTTTCTTAAGAGACAAGGCTTTTAATGTGTCAGGGGAGAGAGAAGGGCCCTGCCAGAGATTGATTGAGCACAGTTAAATTAGGCTTTGCTCTGAATCACCCTCTGGACATGCCTGTCCACCTGAATTAATTGTTCAGGGAGCCCAGGGAGGTTCATTCTAACTTACACATTTAAATTAAATGCCTCTCTTTCAGTGGTGTGAATGCATCCTTCCCTCCTCCTAATGGTACCCAAATCTCCCTCTGAAATGGGGCTGCCTTCTAGGATCCAAAATACCTTCTGTGACCTTTTTGCTAATTTCCATCTCACAGTGATCCAGCCTTCCTGCTCAGGCAGGAGCTGTGCCCCAGCATGGCACTGTCCCTCCTGTCCTTGGCAGGTTGGGTTAATCCTGTGCTGAGTTTGGTTACATAGGAGGGCCTCTGTTGCATGAAATATTTTCTGCACTATAAACCTGTGAGGCATTTCAACAGCTTAAGTAGGCCTGGAGATTAAAGAATAAAAAAAAAAAATCAACAGAAACAAAAAAAACACAAAGCTTTCTAGCAGTGAATGTGATCACCCAGTATTAGGCTGAGAATGAATCTGCAATTCCAGAGTATTTCCATTTGTTTATTTAACAACAGGTTCACATTGCTGATCTTATATATCTGTAGAAATCCTATATACATATACATTCAAATCCATAATTCTGCATATGTATATGTGTACATATATACACAGAGCTCTTTTCATGATATTGTTTATATTATCTTGAGGCTAAATGTTATCAGGCTCTGTCACTTACTAGATTTCTGGGGATAAATTTGTAATGGATGTCTTTCCGATTTCAAAATAAAAATAAATAATGGAAGAAGCTCAATATATTTACAATTTGAGATAAACAGATAAACACTAAGAGGCTGAGGTATTTCTTGAAAATCTGTCTGAAAGAAATCAATGGGAAATCTTGAGATTTCAGGTAGGTTTTTTCCATAATCTAGTCAAACCTTTGATGATAAAATTTAAAAAATTAAAAAAGAACCTTTCTTTTAATATTTTAGTCTTCTTATTTCTAGTGTGAATAATTTCTACACGTTCAATAAAAGTAAAAAAGTAAAGTTGGGTAGTAATTTAGGCAACAGTGAAAATAAATACGAAAATCTCTCTTATTTAGAAAAAAAATCTAAATAAATTTATTAATTTGCCTTAAAAATTTGTAATAAGCTTAATATATATCAGCCAAAGACCTGGACTTCAATTTTGTTTAGTGCATTCTAAGACTAAGATAGTTTTATTTATCAACAAAAATTCTTTTTTTCTTATAATCAAAGTGTAAATTATATCTAGATGTTAATCTATTAGTGTAATTAATATATTAATCTATTAGCAGTGAAATTAATTTTTTAAATTATGTAAAAAATATACAGCTTGAACAATACTTCTTTCCTTACAGATTTTCTGGCCAGCCTCAGCAAATAAGGTTGAAGAGTGCAAAATGGCTGGCAAGGATCCTACAGTAAGTAATAATCCACATGCACACATACACACAAATTAGGTACTTGGCAATAAAGTGACAGCACCTTGAGTGCAGCCAAAGCAAAATGAAAGAAGTGTTTGATTTTCTTTTGAAATGCTTTGCAAGCCAATCTATAAAGTGAAATTCTGGAAAATCAGGTGCTGTAAACAGAATGCACCTCCAGACTCTGACAGATGGGAGAAGATATGCAGTGTCCATTTCCTCGCCTTTTTTGGTTGTTACTGATCTAACTAGGTAATAGTGCTTTTCCAGATATGTCCCGGGGTGATGCTGCACAGCCTGTTGAGCTGCTCTTTGCAGTGTGGAAGTTCTCTGGCTGGCTGCACCCCCCAGGAGCACACTGTGAGGGTGGGTGGTACCCACTGCCTGCAGTCTGAAAACCCCAGTTGTGCACCAGTTTTCAAATAATATTGTATGGTGCTGGCTCCTGCTGAACCAAAAATGTGAATGCCTTTAAAAGTAAATAAGCCTGTGCAGTCTGCTAAACAAGGATAAACTCTACGGATTTTCATGAAGATGACTGATGGCACAGTTTCCAGCCCTGTGCTCACAAAACATATGCAATTCTCACTGTCTGGAATGGGGTTTGGATGATTGAATATGAAAGCAGTTCTGGGATCTGGGTAAGAAAAATATTAATTTAAAAAAATCTGTTTTCAACCTAAAGTGCATAACACTTGGTCACAGTAAAAAATGAAAGAGCTAGATACCAAAGGGAAGGAAAAAACTGTAAATCCAGTACTGTGAACCATGTGGCCCTTAACATTCTGGTTTAATTTTCATGCTGATTTGAAGATGTTTGTCTTCCATACAAAGCAACAATTGACTGCAAACCTCAGTTTAAAGTTCTGGAAAGAAATTGTTTATACAGATAGCAAAATCTGATATTTAGACTTGCTTTCTTTTTAATTATCTCCATTTGTGTTGAACAAATCAGGGGGAAGAAGAGACTGTTTCAGAGTTGTCCTTAAGGAAACAGGTTATGCCTTGATTACCCATAGTGCTCTTGCTTCTTCTCATGCAAGAGAAACATGTGAATGAAAATTGGATTGCTGTGTGGAAGTGGGAACACTACATGGAGTCCTCTATAACTCATCTGTGGTGCTCAGTCAGAGAGAGCCCAGTTCCCAGGGCAGCATGACATGAAAAGAAACAGCTGTCCAAAGCCAGAGACCAGCAAACTCAGTAGCTGTTTTCATGATGCTATTAAAATTACATGTCATGTCTATTCTCTAGAGCTCCCAGCATCTCCTGACATTTTCCACTGTGGAGTGACTGTTCTCTGTGTTTCCTGCAGCACGGCTGTGGGAACTTTGTGCGCGTGATCCAGTCGTACAACCGCACCCACCTGTACGTCTGCGGCAGCGGCGCCTTCAGCCCCGTCTGCGTCTACGTCAACAGGGGACGCAGGTCTGAGGTAACTCTCTTTGCATTCTATCCACTCACTTGGTGGTCCACCTTGCTGGTGTGAAGCAAAATCTCAAGGTTTAGAAAATGCAAGAATCAGTGGTCCCAGTAGAATCAGTGGTTCCTTCACCGATGTTAAATAGCAGAAGAGCAAAGGTCCGTAGTTTTCTCACCTGATACCAGCTAGAAGCAAAGCCATGATTAAAAGCCATATGATGCCTGTCCAAAATATGATATATTTGTTCAATATATAGACAATATTTGTCATATATAGATATATATATATGTCCAATATATGATGGTTGTCCACAGTCATACGAATTGCTGGGATACATTTGATAGTACTTTTTATTTGACATTGCCTGGTGAATTAATTCCTGCCATTTGGTGTAAAAATGCCCAAGAAATACTTGAAAGGAAATAGCCAGTTAGATGAAAAGTAAAATACAAAGTCCATTATTTATAATTTCCATGTGTTACTGGTTCCCTGGAGAAGCCCTTAATTTGGCTAACTATTCAGGTTAGGTTTGCTGGAATTCAGCTTAACACCATCTAGTTGCAATCCCAGTACAGGAACTCTATCTACTGCACAAGTTTTGCCCCACTAGATGGTGCCCAGATGAAGTTGGTAAGTTTCTCTTCACTGTAAGATCATACTTTTTCTAGGTAGGTCTCCAGTTTTTCTATATTCAGTTTCATTGAGTGTATTTTCAGTATAAGTACCAGATGTTTCAGAAGTATATGGTCCAAGTTTCCTGATCTGAAAGTGAAATGTTTGTTTATGTGCAAATGTAATAGGCAATAAGTTAGGCAACCAGAAGGAAAAAGTCAGGCACTTAAGCAGGAGGCAGCACCTCAGTAGCTTTTGGGTCAGATTCATGTCTGCAGGCACAGGGGTGTGCAGTATATTTTCCAGAACAATGTGGAAGCAGATGTGTTGGGAGGGAAGATCAGAGTGTTCTACCTGGAGCTTTGCCATGTGAGGGCAGCTTTAAAAGCTGGGCTGGCTTCTCGGGAAGACACTGAGAAATTCATCACTGATTTAATTAGGAGTGGGATGGGAATTCTGGCCGAGACTCAAGATTGCTGCAGGGGTTGCCAGGGAGGTGATTAGTCAATGTTCCTCCAGGTCAGTTTGCATGGTATGATCTCAGTGACTTTTGGTAGATCCCTACCTGGCTCCAGCTTCCTTAACAGAGCATGCACTCAGAATCATTGCACTTTCAGTACTACTAAATTGTCTAAAAGTAGAGATTATAGGCCTGGATTTAAAAGCAGAAGCAAGCAGAACTCAATAAGTGAATCCACCCTTCTGGCTAAAAAGATTCTGCATTAACTTATTTTGATGTATTATGAAACAAGGATCACCTTTCCCCAGCATTATTCTATTTCTTGAAAAATCATTTAAAGCATGAACGGTGATCTCATTTGTCTTTAATTAATGTAATACTCTTTATCATCTTAAGTACTGCTATTGCAGCCCAGAGAAGTTTGGATCTCATTATTTTAGACGGTTTGTAAATGAGATTGGGACAGAGGGGAGGGCAGGAAATGACATCTCCAGATGATGCAAGATGTTAAATTTCTTAAATGAAAAGTAAAGATACATGATTTGGAAAACCAGAACCGGCTGCACTTAGCCTGTCTGTATAGCTGCATGCCTATGATCAATTGATTAAATAAACTGCTGTTTCAGACGTCTGGAGTCTGAGACACTTGACTGTAGGCACTTTATGCTCAAAACCATTACTGTACAGGCCAACAATAGCATAACAGTTTAAACCCAAGAATTTCCTTCTGAACTCATTGCATATATCTGTGCATGACTAATTGATAGAGCAGAATGAGGAACTATGTAATGCTGATGGGACTAGTGGAAATTCGTTTTTTCCTCTGCTTGTGTCATTTCACCTACAATTTGGTACAGTTTTCCATGCACAAAATGTTGTTTTTGCACGTGCAAAATGAATATTTTACAAAGCACATCTGTTTTTCTCTAGAAGCTACAAAGCCTGACAGAGTCATATCCAGCAATCATAAGAACTGGGCCTGCTTTACTCTTCTGTTTCCAGGATCCCACATAAGCTCACAAAAATGGGGGTTTCATTGATAAGGCAAAATTTTGTCCCTTCCCCTGAAAAAGAGGTTATAAAGCAATTAATTTTCTTCTTTGGCACACTTAACACTTTGGTCTTTGGCAATTACTGCCTTAGTCATCCAGATATATTCTAATGTCAACATAAATGCAAACAGAAGGAAGTGTAATCCCTGTACGAAATAATTATAGACTAAATAGTAGTTTAATATATATGAAAATCAAGTGTAATCCTGGAGCTAGTTTAGTAGAGGAGTAATGGGCATTTTGAATTGGTAAATAGTGGTTTAATATAGTAAACATGGATTAGAATCAAGCTGCATATAATCTAGAAGTGAAAAAGAAACAACAAAGAAACCACCCAAGATCACATTAGAAACTTCATACTTACATTTTAACAATGTTTAGAGAGTTTATTACTGAAACAATAGATAAGATCTCTGAGATTAAATTAGGCAAAACAGAAGAAGGGGGGAAAGAGAGGGAACAATCATATGAAAACTTCCTGCTGCAGCTGTGCATTTGAACTTGGTGTAATCTTCTATTCACTGGTGCCAAATGGCTGCTTCAGGACTTGTGTGGCATCCCCACTCCCCTGTGATTTACATTAACTCTTGAAGGGAATATAAGAAATTGCTGTCCTTTCTCAAACAACTAATTGTTGGCATCTACCTCACAGAAGCCTTTCTTTGGAATTTTTGTCAGCTACGTTTTTCTTTTGAAATGTTTAAGTTCAGTTATTTGTTGTTGGTGTTTTTGTTTTTTTTTTCTTGTAATTGTGTCTCTTGGCTTTTTATTGAAGGTTGGAAATTTGTTGTAGGAGCCTAAGAATAAGCTCTTTGGTATCCAGTGTGTGGGAGTCAGTGTGTGTTGGGTCAGCTTTTATCTGCCATTACTGGCTGCAGTTTTTAAGGAATGAACTTGGGCCTGAGCCATTTCTTGCTGAGCACACTGTGCTGGTATTGCTGGGACCAAGAAGTGAAGACTTGCACCAGAATGGACAAATTTTCTAAAGATATTCAGATTGTTCGTATTTTAAGCTGTAGTCCAAATATCTTCTACTTTGCTAAATGTATTCCCTGTTCATACAGTACATAACATATAAACAAATCCCTGTACTATGATTTCTTAAAAAAAAAAAAAAATAGGAGATTTCAGGCTCTGGTAAGAGGTATAGATAAATAATTGATCATTGTGGATTTGGAGCTCTACAAGTAATCCAAGAGATGGTATTAAAGAAAATAAGTGTCATTTGGAGGATTTTTTGAGGTCTGAAATCGCAGTAAAGGTCAAATGATTTATGCTATAATCTAATGACAGTTGTCATAAGATTTATTTTATATGTATTATAGTTCTAGTAGCTTTATTATAATGTCCTAGACAGTTATAAGTACACTAATATATACAGAAAATAAATGATTAATAACTTCAAAGCCACAGAAGCAATCTCCATGGGTATTATTGCAGAGATCAGTCAACCTATCCTTAACAGAGGGAACATTTTTTTGATTCAGTGTCTTGAATTTATAACAAGAGTCTTGGTAATAACCATGTGTCAGTGTTATCTAACAAGATGATGGAATTCTGAATAGAAGAGTTAAACTGCCAACAATACAGTGAAAGTGCCCAGTGGAGCACTGTTAATAGAGCATTGCTAATGCTGCAAACAGCCAGGCATAAAAACTAGCTTAGATGTAATGGTTTCTGACATGAGAAGTGACACACAAATCTCCTTTGCAGGAACAAGTCTTCAAGATCGACTCCAAGTGTGAATCAGGAAAGGGACGCTGTTCTTTCAACCCTAACGTGAATACGGTGTCTGTTATGATCAGTAAGTAAAGACCCTTAGTAAGTAAGGATACTCCAGGGTGCTGGGGTCTAAACCCATGTGGTCATGTGTATGGTGGATTGATGGAATGCCCCAAGGGAGCAGAATTCAGCCTCCCAGGACCAGTGCCTTTTGTCTGGCTGATGGGCACAAAGGGTGGGTCCATCCATGTTTCAAGGATTGTGTGAAGTTTAAGGTGGGTGGACAAATGAAATACAGGAATAAGTTACTGAAAGGGGAAGAGAGACACAGGAAACAAAAGGTTGTCCCTTTTCCAGATGACACATTTTTTCCCAGGAATAGTTTCAGCTTTTCATTACCCTGTCTAGCATTTATATTTGAATGGTTTCTGACCTTATTCATCCTAAACAGCATTTGTGTCTTATTTAATTATTTTTAAAATCTCAAAGTATCCAGGGAAAGCCTGAAGATTTCAGATGCTTTGAATTTAATTTTTGTTGTCATCACTGCTGTAAAGCCCACCAGCTGTTGTAAAGCTCTTCATTCTTCAACTGGCTTTATACCCAACCAATTTTGCCATTTCCTTCCATCTGAAAGGCCAGAAAGTGAAATAATAAAGGATTTCTGCTGTGCTTGTTGCACACCTATGAGAAAACTCAAAGGGGGAATACACTTTGTGCAGCCCAAGTCATCTGTAAAAGATTCTTCTCATTTTTTCAACCAAGAAGAGCTGAAAATATATACTCAGTGTAACCTGACCTTTACATTTGCAGTATGTTCACACACTTCTAGTGTCAAAGCCCTGATTTTTCAATATGTGTCTGCTCCTTGCTGTATTTTTGGCTATGAAGGGAACAGCAGCTGTTCAGACTTTTGAGACTTTCTTAGTAAATAAAACTTACTGCACACTGGTACTGTGTATTTCACCCAAGGCTTACAAGAGAGCAACGTGCCATGTTTCTGCCATTCAGCTTCCCCTGAAATCAATTATATCAATTACATATTGTGTGAGATATTATCTTTAAAGTCTTGTAGATATTAAGGAAAACGTAATACAGTTTGTCCTACATGGCCTTTTCAAAATATAAATATCTTTCTTTTTTTTTTTTATTATTTCTCATTGCATATATATTTAGTACGAAGGATAAGTATATCTATTCACAGAGATGTGAACTGAACACCTTTAGAGAACACATAAATGCTATCTAGACATCTCTCTGAACCTTGGCTGCACTTAACACCTTTATCTCAACAGTGATCTAGGGACAGTGTTTACAGACACTCACTGTGTAAAGAAAATGTTTGTTCAAAGTCAGTGATAGATGAGTCCACTGCTACTCATTGCCGTTCTGGTATTATTAAGTGAAGTGACTGTTTCCTTTCCTTGTTCCTACTGGATTTTATATAGCAACATTAAAGAAAATTGTTTCTGAAGTATTGTTTGTACAGTAAGCTGATTTTTTTTCTACAGTAAATCTGTGGCAGCTTTGTTCATCTTAATAGACTTTTCATTATCTTCCTTGATCTCTGTTATGTAATTAAGGAGACCTTCCCTACAGTTTGACTTCTCTTTTATGGCATAGTCCATCTACAAAGTCTAAATTATTCCACAAAGGTCAAATTCCTTTTAAAAAGAGTCCTCAGACTGAGTTTTATACTTTCTGTTGCAAAGTCCAGTCACTTCAAAAACATTAAAATCCAATGAATTAAACCTCAGTATCCATGCCAGAAACATGAACATTTTCTAAGTCTCAGCTCATGTTGTAATGAGGGGACTGAGCCAATGTACTGGACTCACCTTTGAGCTTTCTGGAGGAGGAATTCCCTCCTGTTGCTTCAGAAGATAGTAAATACCACCAGACCAATTAATTCTTCTACAATAAGAGAACCCTTTTTGAATATAGATGCAATTTCTTGACCATTTTGGGCATCACTGGCCTAGAATACAGCAGGGAAACTGATTCACCCTTCAGAAGAAAGTGGGTGCTATAAAAATAAGTTTGAACTTTGTGCAGTTTGCCATCGTGCAGAGATGCATTTGCACAAAGCAATGAAAAATGTGCTTTGAAGCAGCTTGGCATTACTAGTGTGCAGGATGCTCTCCCCACCAAGACTACAAGATATTTATAAAAGCAGACATACCTCATCAATTCAGTAATTCCCCCCAGTAACAAAGTGAAGTAGAGTGAACTCATGGTGCTGTGCAGACCAAATACTGTGTGGAATTTAAGGATTTTACAAGAAGGAAGTGGAACTGATGGATCTCCTCTGATACATGATTAGCACATAGACAGTAGGAATGCTTAAGATGTAAGTAATACCACTGATATGTAATAGGATTAAAATTACATAGTATAGTACTATTGCTGAAATGTGTATATGCACAGGACTGTACATAACATTTAGTGAGAGCCATAAACCTGATCTCTTTCAGCCAGTTTGTTTCATAATAGGAATAAAGTTCTGATGGATTGAGGTGAGGAGGCAAATATACAAAATCACTTACAAATTTGTCCAGCTCTAACATCATTCTGTCAATACCTGCTCCAGAAGTAAATGTTTCAGCAACATGGAGCAAATGTATTGCTTAAATCCCCTGTGTAGGAATCTTGTCATTGCAGGGAGAGGTGAGAGCAGAAGAGTGGCTGCTGGATGCCCAACCAGGAGTCAGCTCAGGCACCAGTAAGCAGCAGAAAAGCAAAGGCTCCAGAGTTTTGATCCTCTCATGGGCTTCTCAATACTTTTCCATGCTGATTAGGAACACACACAAACACACACACACAGAGCATGAAAATAGCCTCAAGTATTTCTGAGCCTGTGACTCTTGCCAGCTTGACCACACTCCCTGGGTAGTCCAGGACTACAGACAAAAACATCAATCAAAGGACCCAGCTGTACTGGAATCTATTCAGCCACCACTCCCACTCTGAGAGTTAGAGTTTATTTTAGCTACTGTTTTCTACTCTGGTGTTTCATTGTCATTAGTCAGTGGAAATTGCTTGGTTATTCACAGAGTAGAAAATGATAGTATATGTAATTATAATTGTAAATATATATACATATGTTTAGGCACACACACAGACTTGAACAAGCAGAGATAGACATCCTGACTGATGGGCTGAGTTTTAAGCCCTGCACAGGGAGTGGGAGCTCATAGTTCTGTTCATGTAGGAGTTGCATGTCTCATTCTGCTCAAGCATAATGATCCTATACTTAGAACCAAGTACACAACAGGCGACAACTGTTGCTCCATGTTACTCTGAGTAAAGTTCAATATATGATTGTCTGGCCTCTGCAATACTGAAGTCAGCTTGAGGCTGCCTGGGGCAGCCATAACAATGCTGCTGGTAAAAATTGGCACTGATCCACTGACTGCAATAGATGTTGTGCCAGTTTACAGCAGCAATAAATTCAACCCAGTCACTTCAACTACTTTCGTAACAAAAAAAATAAAATTCTTTGAAGTGCACACTTACGATATTGAATGAAATACTTTTTGATAACTCTAGCCTTATTCTCCAGTGGTTTTTAGCAGTGCAAATGGGGCAACTAAACTTCCTGTCAAGAATAGTTTCCTGTGTATGCAGCTCTTCTGTGGCATTTAATGGTACAGTTCCATGAAGAAAAATATGATTACTCTCATGCACTCTAGTTTGAGTCTTTGTAAATCAGAGAAAACCTCATTCCTATGACCCACTATTTATATGTATAGATTCCTGTGTAAATAAAGAGCTGATGAATTTAAAATAAACTTTTTTTTTTCTCCCAAAAGCCATAACAATTCTCCCTTCATTTCATTCCTTACAGATGAAGAGCTTTTTTCAGGAATGTATATTGATTTCATGGGGACAGATGCGGCCATTTTTCGCAGTCTGACCAGGAGGAATGCAGTGAGAACTGACCAGCACAACTCCAAGTGGTTGAGTGGTGAGATGCCTTTAATTTATCAGAGTTTTAATGGGTGTCACAGAGATTCTGCTTTCCTTTTCCTGCTTAAAACAAAGACCATATCCTTCAAAGAGCTTGTCTCTGAACTTAATTTATGACGAAGAACCATGAAGAAATGTGTGTAAACAAAAACTGTAGACAGTGCAGATGTGGAGGGATCCCTGCATCAACCAAGCTCCTAGATCACCCCACCTGATGGCCTTTTTTGCATTAAGACTGAACCAAGCTTTTTGAGGGCAAGTGTATGAAAACCTTTCTAATGGCAATTGGAGACAGTCTGATTTCTAGAAAAGTGCCTTCACCTCTGATGAATCAGATATTGCCTTAAATCCATGTTTGATTCTAGACCACAACTTCAATTAAGATTCACCACCACTTGCATTCAAAATGAGTGCATAACAGTGTCTCACTGTCAGAGAAGTCAATATGGATCATTGCCACTTATTTCAGTGGTGAGGAATTGGTTATCTAAACACAGTAGAAAAACTCATTTCTGAGTGGAATCACCTCTTTGATTTACTGACATCACTGTGAAAATTCTCCATCTTTACTGGTAAGAAGACTTCCAGTGAAACAAATTTAAATTAAAATGGTAGTCAACCCTGTGAGAGGAGGTAGCTGTGAAAGGTTATAGACCAACTAACACAGCAGTTACAGTTTAAAAAGCCTTCAGGTATGTTGAAGTAAAGTTTTGTCTTGATATTTTTTATGGTGACTTATTATTCATGTCTGGCTGTGACTACAATGAAATTGCAAGGTTTCATTCACAAATTCATTTCACAAAGGGAAACTATGTCCTCTCTCTAATTTTTTTTTTCTGTTTGTTATACATTCTTACACTTACCCGTGCACCCTAACATGTGCATCCTATAATAAATTAGAGGAAAATTAAATTTTAAAATGCCTAATTTCTGGAAGATCTACCTGTTCAAAACAGGTACTTGAAAGTACAATTTATCTCCATGTTCTTTTAGAACCAGAGTCATGGCATTTGTTATATTAATTGAGAATAGACTTATGTGAACAGAACAATGCTGCAGTCCAAAATGAGTTTTCTGTCAGACATTCAACCTTTGTATCAGATTGTTTTAAACTTTATACTGCACTTCAACTGAACAAGCAATCTTGCATGATCATTGAAAAGACAAAGCCTTCATGCAGGAAGAAGGGACACTTCTTCCTTCAGTCAAAGGAGGTGTTCTGAGGGCTCCTGAACCGTCCATTATATGTTTGCTATTATGTTGTCCTCTCCCTAATTCTCCTTTGTAATGTTTTGCACATACATTTGATTATGTTTACCAGCCTCTGATATGAAGTCAGATGCTGCTCAATCATTTGCCTACCCTCCTTTCCTTTTCTGGGTTACACAAATTGTTTTTCTCTCTTATTTGTAAACCTTATTTGTTAGATTCCTAAGCTCTTGCATCTTACTTTTATGTTTTGTCTCAATGAGACTTTCCTTAGGTGCCCCAGATAACACACTGATTCTTCCTTCTTCCTCAAAGTCTTTGAGTCTCTGCAGTAATCTATACCACTGCTTCTCAACTGGTCCTCTAAAAATTTGCTGTGAAATAAAGTTTGAGGTTGAAAGCACACATGGCTGGCAGCATGGAGCCATTTGCCTGTTCATATTTGGTATATTTAGCACTTCCTTGAAGCAGTCAGTAAATAATTTGTGGCTTTTATTGATACATCTTTTGGTTTCATCCTTTTGGTAAACTTTTTCATTTCAGAGCCTATTTTTGTGGATGCTCATGTTATCCCAGATGGCACTGACCCCAATGATGCCAAAATCTACTTCTTCTTCAAAGAAAGACTCACAGACAACAGCGGCAGCACAAAGCAAATTCATTCAATGATTGCAAGAGTATGCCCAGTAAGAACTATTTTGTTTACCAGGTTGCTGGGATAAGCTGCTAGTGTGACATGATAATCTAAAAGACTAAATGTTTGAAAAGCCTTTGATTTGACAAAATTTCCTGTTTCTGTGTCGCCACTCATAATTAAGAAGAGCAGTTACTGAGCTCACAGCTTATATGTATCTCACTATATGTGTAAGAATATGGAAATGTAGAGGTTCAGGGATTTGTGTATTTCTTTAACTGAGTCAAAATAGTTACCAGTGTTGAATTTTTAAACTTGCTGTCCTTAGTACAAATAAGGCACGTTATTTTCTCAATAAAAATGAACTTTAGGCAGTGAAGGCCTACTTCATACACACACAAAATACACATACACTCAAAATGGACACATACACACTCAAAACATTTAAAGCACATCAGAAATATCAAGCTTTTAAATTAGTGGATTTAACTTTCAAATGCTGTTTTCATTTCGACATCAAAATTTGTCTTTCTGCTTGCTTGTATAGATGCGTGTGTGAGCCTAACTTTAAAAATGTGCACAGGAAATTTAAATTCAGGAGTTGTGGCTATTCCTGGGCAATAATTAATTTTTTTTCACAGCACTCCTCATTGTCTTTATTTTGGGTTTTTTTTGTATTTCTAATCAACTGTACATGAAAATGATTGAAACAGCTATTAATATCTCTGGTGAAATAATATTTTTTTTTAAGGAGAGAAAAAATATAAATGCACAGTTGCTGCTAGCCTATTCATTCCTTCCTTTAGAAGGTTTCAGGAAGTTCATTATGAGTGTTTATATATTCCCTGTCTTTAATTTGGGTTTTCTTTAGAATTTGATGCTTTGTGATGTTGTGCCTGGGTGTGAAGGTGTTTGTCTTTCTCTGGCAATATGATGAGGCATGTGATTTCTTTTATAATCTCCATTCTCTGTATTATTGTGAGAGTGCCTAAAGGTCTTATTGGGTGTTTTGCAAGAAGACATTTCACACTATTACAGCTGTATTTGGTTTTTTACTGTTATAATGAAGCTCAGATGGTTTTTGAAAGGCTTAAGACTTTTACAGTGAAACCAGTGGCAGAATCCTAGGACCAATTAAAATAAATCTGAGCCAGTCATATTTGTATACATACCATCATATTCATGTATCAACACCTTTGAGACTGACAGAATTATACTGCCCCCTGAAAAGTCTCGTTATAAGTCACCCTAAATGTTGGATTACCAACTCCAACAGTATCAGTGAAACATGCACAGCACCTATTGAAATCCCATTTCAATAGCTTCTGCATTTTGGTTTTTCTCTTTCCTTGGGTAACATAACATTAAGCAGCTGTGAGGGCACTGCTCTTACGTAAGGCATTCACCAGCACAGTTGGTCAGGATCTGTCACCTCAGGGCTGCATCACCTGGTTTGGCAGTTACAGTTCCCACCCTGAACCATGGAAATTTGGAAAGATCCATGAGTGAGCTGTGAACAAGCCATCTCTGCACCAAGCTAACAGGACTTGCAACAGTGCATAACCTGCTTGACCGGCACTAGCCATCGTTTTTGAATAGTGTTTAGAGCATCCACCTCATGTGCTAGTGTGCCTTACTGGGTCAGGTGCAGCTATGCTGCTGTCAGGACTAGAAGAACCATCCCTCCATAGAAACGTGAGACCTTTTAGAGATAACATGGACTTTGTTCTGGGTGTCAGTGAGTGATGCAGAGCTCCACAGTCACTTCCAGTCACAACAGCATACACTGCTGATGCACAAAATCTACTGCCCAACCCTCCAACCCTGCTAGCCCAGCAGAGAAAGTCCACTCAGAAAACTAGTTCTTGGTTTGTTGTGCATATAGAATGCTTAGATGAGGGGATTTGGCTTAGGTCTATCTATTTTTAATATTAAATTTACATATAATTATCTAGATAGTGAATTAACCTGAAAAAAAATGTGGGAAAGTCCAGTAAGATGTTAGCTGTGTTTTATTTCATATTTTCTGAAAATAATATTCCTTTCCAGAATGACACAGGTGGTCAACGCAGTCTCGTGAACAAGTGGACAACATTCTTGAAAGCAAGACTTGTGTGCTCGGTAATGGATGAAGATGGAACAGAAACATACTTTGATGAATTAGGTATCACAAAAAACATTCCTTAAAATTTCATCTAAATGTAAAATTGTGTATTTGTGTATTTCTTTGACTGAGTCGGAATAATTACCAGTGTTGAATTTTCAAACTTGCTGTCCTTAGCACAAATAAGGCACATACCTTGTGCATATGTAATGACTGATTTTCATTCAGTTTCTTAGTCAAGTTGTTAGTAGTGAAATCATAGCACTAGAAGTCCATGACAAAATTCCCCTTGCAGTTTTATGACAGCAAAAGAAAAAACTTATTTGTAAGTCTTTCTGCGTAATTATAAGGTAATTTACATAATTAATCTTGAATATGTAAACAAATGATAGATGTAAAGAACTAATACTTGGAAGGAAACATCTAAGTGACTCTCTTACTGTTTTGCTACTAGCTTTTTGCAATAGATTACAAATAGAGAGTTTGCAAGAGAGGGTTTTTGACATCCCCTTGAAACTGTTTCTTATACCACTGTGTAACATACAGCTTTCCATAATGCATTTTTTTTCATAATGCATTTTTTCTATTTTTTGATCACAGGGTAGAGTTCTCAGTTTGGTAATTCAAGATAATGCTAATAAATCCTGTTACTGGCACCAGCAATAGCACTATTCATAAGTATAATTTTTCAGGAATCATTCAGTCACATAAATTGTTGTTTCAACATGTGAAATACTGTAAATATTCAATGCACAATCTGTACAGCAATCACAAGAGGTTCCTTTTCAAAGTAATTAATAGATGCATATCTTGATACCTACTTGCCAAACAACATTACCAGAAAGTTTCAAATTCTGTATTGTCCATAGCTGAGATGCACAAAATCATAGTTCTAAATTCATGTATTGGGAAATTTGGTATGTGCTTTACTATAAATATAAATAATATGAGCAGCTAATGTGCACTGCTACTGGGTCTGCATCTGGTTCTGATATTCCCTCCATTGTATTCTCTCTTGCTTTTCTTGATTATTATTCCTGATGCACAAAATCATAGCAAATGGGGTTTTGAGTATTTTGAGTTTATATATTTACAACTATTTGGTGTACTTGCTTTAGTTCAAGGTTTCAATGGAACCTGATTTGGCCTGGGAGCAGATCCTGATTTGCTCTAGCTCGGAATGTGCAAGGTGCTTGGAGGACTGATTTTCTGAAGCTTGCAGTGCCTCAGCACTGCCACAGCAGCTCATCTTTGAGAACTGTGATTAACCAACCCCCTCCTCTTCAACAAGCTGTAGGATAACTGCTTTTAGTTTCTTGTATGACAATATGTAGGGCCATAGTGAATAGGAGACAATGTTCTCAGCATGGGTTCCCAGCACAATTCCCTATCAAAGAGGAAGAATACAGTCACAGCTGGAAATTCAGAAAACGGGGAGAGAGCAAACACATGCTTCTGTTCATGTATAATTCAGGAGAGTATAACATTTCCAGTTCTGCATGGTGAAGTCTTTTGCTTTTGACATATTGAAAAGAATATTTAAAAAATTCAGTGGGTTAAATGAAAGAGCCACATGAATTAATGGAAAGCTAAAGAAACATTCTGTGATAAAAAGCTCACACAGTTCAGTCTTTTTTGATTTGTAAATTAAGTTTAAGAGGTAGCATGATTATAGTTATTAAAAACATTTGTAAGGAGAAACTGTCAGAGATTAAAGTAGATTTCACTGAAGTGAAAAAAAATCAGCAGATCAGAGGTTATAATGGGTAAATTAATTTCATTGACTGGGTGCAGTCTTGCACAGTGCAGTCAATAAATCCCTACACAACAGGAGGCAGGAGGTTTCCTTCTCTCACAGTCTTTACAGCAAAGCTGTCTGACATTAGTATCATGTTGAAAATGCTCTAGTGAGGGCACTTCAGTGCATTCTGGACAATAAAACACCTAATTTCCCCGGTTTTGATTACATCCATCTATGGGAACTCTTTGTCTTTAGCCTACTGCAACTTTAATGTTTTCCTACTGCTAAACAACCTGCCGAAACAAGATACAGCTGAGAAAAATGTGTAACATAGATTCTGAATGTATTTGAAAATCTTTGCCTTCTGTCTCTACAAGGCTAGAGGGCATGGAGTTAATTTCCAAATTTGCTTCTGACTGTTTAAGTCCTAGATTTATGCATATATGATCTGTTCATGTGGTAAGTCTCCTTTTTCCCATTCAAGTCTTAGATAAAACTACTGTTGAGTTTAGGAGGAATAAAATCATCAATTAAACTGGAAAATAAAGTTTTTGTTACTATTCAAAATGTTTTTCTTTCTTACAGAGGATGTGTTTCTCCTAGAGACAGATAACCCCAGAACAACACTTGTGTATGGAATTTTTACAACATCAAGGTAAACATGGAGATTTGAAAAAGGTTACCTGAACTGCCTGATTTTCTGTATGAAAACTGAAACTAATACTTTGTGGATAAGGCTGTGCTGGGCAGTTTTGTGTGTCTGCTGTGGCCGTGGTTTGCATGCAGGATTCTCAGTATTATTGTTGTTGATATCTATGTCAGAGCTGTGCTTCTTGGACCAAACTGCTTCCTGACATACTGTCAGCTGCCACTGGCAAAACATTTCCTTGGAGGGCCACTTGTCACTGCTCAGCAGTGGAAAGCTAAATGACTTCAATGCTGTGAGCTCATGTGGCATCTGAGAGCACTTATCACCTCCTGAAGAACATCCAGCACCCTGAAGGATCAAACTAGGATATCTTACATGAATTCATACAAATCATTTCCAGTCTCTCAGCTGGCTGATGATCACAGAGATGGCAAATAACTATACTGGCTTCAGTTGGCTACAAAAGGACACGCTCACGTGGTGTTTGGTCACCTCCTTGCTGCTCCCTGTTTCCAGTTACTGTCTGGTTTAGAAAGCACTTGCTCAGCTCCCAGGGGTGGTAGAAGTACTAGATATGGCTGAAACTCTCCACAAAGATAGACTGACAGGTGGACCAACAGATTCTTCCACCTCTACCTTTACTTTTTTAATTTTCCTCTTGCCCTCATTATATACTATTAACAAAGAGTAAAATTGGTTGCTATCCCCTGATTTCTGATATACTACCCTTTATAATTTAGCTGTTATTTCTTGTGTTCAAAGAAGTCTTCTGGTTCAATTTTAAATTATCTTTTTAAAATAGAAAATTATGTAATTTATTATTAATAATTAAATTAATGGCAATTTTTAGTAAAAAAAGTCCTTTCAGATTTTTTTTTTCTCGAAGATTTTTTCACTGGGATATAGGGGTCTACTTAAATGTGTAAATACGATAGGAGAATTTAACTGGGAAAAAAAAGCTTCACATAACTTGTAAACTTAGGTGCTGTATATAATTCCTACTTTACAAAAAGAGAAAAGGATGATCTTATGTTCAGTAGTAAAACCACACTTCTTAGGTTGGGGGTGCAATATGACTGAACTGGAAACACTTCTGCCTAATTCTGGTAGAATTCTTTTCTCAGTGGAAATAAGATTTGAATCACATGAACATATAACGTGACAAAAAAGAGAAAACTTCACTTTTTCCTGGCTCTCAAGCTATTTTCTCTCTCTACTGAAGTTTTTACACATGCATTTCTGTTATTGTGAACCACATGGTCTAATCTTGCTTTATTTTTGTTCAACTATAGATTGAATATGTTATCTAGTTAAATACAGAAACCATGAAGATTTTTACTCCTTAATAATTCTTGTATCTTCATCTCTGTAGACTTTCAACTCATAGCAGTAGCAAGAGAGAAACATCACAGGAAGTAATAACTACTAGTATTTTTATCTTAATCATACAGAAGGAAACCAATTAATACTGAGATAAATTATTTTAGTGTCATAATATGCTGTAAATCTAACATAAAACATCTGGAAAGAATAAATGCATTTCTCAAAATCTATTAATACCTAGTAAAATTTCCACAAATACCATAATCCATCTAAAAGGTTCATTCTGCTAATCTGTATATAGCTGAGAGCAATATGGATTTCACTTTTACTGTTTAGACACTATGTGTAATGTTTTCAGGCTTTTTTTCTGAAGTGTTTTTTCTTCTTCAATTGAAAACAGTTACTTGGATTATCTTCATCCTACATTTAATACTAGGCAGATCTTAGACTGTCTGGAGTTTCCACTTTTAAAAAATAAATACCGTAAATCTTGCATGCAGCAAGAGGAAAAATGAGGGAGTATCAATCTGGAAATCTTTCCCCTAGTGCTTTTCATCATCGTGGGGTGATGGAGACCATTCAGGGCTTGTGCTGCCTGGACCTGTGGCTGAATCTAGAACAGTGGGAAGAGCACTTTTTTGCCTTTTTCTTAGGCAAATCCCTGGGTTCCCCTTAGGAGGCTTCAAACTTGGATCTTCATGAGTCCAGTTTTATGGGTGGATTTGAGGACTGTATAGGAGTAATTCCTTTACAGCTACATCTTTTCCCCATTTTTTTCAAAAAAGCTGGAAACTTATTATAATAATCCAACCAATTGTAATTGCTCTGGATGTTTTGATTAATATTTTAGCCATGTATTTTAAGAGGCTCATGGAGATCTTGTGGTTATTATACTGGTAGGAGTTCTGGAAACCTGTGCTGAGCTTGGCAGTACAAAGTTTATAAAACTCCTGCCTCACTGAAGTCAGCAATATTTTTGCCACTGATTTAACTGGAGGCAGATTTCCTATATTTAGCATTAGGAAATCTTCTTATTGCACCAGTAGGGTAGTGCCTGCCTCTCTCTTTTTTGAGTTCACAGTTCAGAAATTTGCTAAATCTTAAGAAGTAGTGGTGCATATTGGCCAGTAAAACATTTTAAATCCATATAAAAGCAATAAATTGTATAAAATATTACATTAGAGGTCTCTTTCCTCATTGGACCATGCAAAATTATGGAAAAGCTGTGAAAAAGTTGGTGGCTTGTAATGCTAACTTCTTCTTGTCTTCCAGCTCCATATTTAAAGGCTCAGCCGTGTGTGTGTATCATCTGTCTGACATCCAGACTGTGTTCAATGGGCCTTTTGCACACAAGGAGGGCCCAAACCACCAGCTGATTCCATATCAGGGCAGAATTCCGTACCCACGGCCTGGCACCGTAAGTACAAAGATGTTTATTCAGTCTTGCCAGTGGCTTGTCTTTGTTTAATGCATAAATAAATATTATTTATTCCAGGAAAAAAGTCTGTATGTGACTGTGACAGTTACAATCCAGGACTCTTTTATTTCCTTTTCAGTTGCCTGCAAATCCAACTGCAAATCATGTAGTGTCTGGAAAGCTTCTAGAAAGAATTAAAAGTCATGTAAAATGTTTGTTGCTTTCTGTTTTAAAGGTGATATAAATTCATTCATTAGGTGATAGTCTTGTTTGCATGTGCATTTTAATTTTGTGTACATTTGAGCAAAATGTAGTAAATAAACAAGAATGCAAGTAAAACATTGTTAGTATGTTCCACGGCCTGGATCCAAATGTCCGTAAGTCTGTCTTCTGTCTCTCTGAATTTTCTTTAGTTCTCCAGAGTCTTGCACCTTTACTCAGATGCTTAGGAGATGTAGTAAAAGATTTAGAGTACAAGGTTTCTCAGATTTGTCACTTGACTAAAGTATACCCTGCCAAGTTCTGAATCTTAGATGAGAGACCTAGAAATAAAAGCATTTTCTTGCCATTCAGTTCACCATCACCTTCTTTGTGAGAAGGCTTTTTGTATGCCTTGCTCTCAGGAATTTATCTTCCAATAAATTCTGTACACAATTAGAGATAGCTCAGTTTCCAAGTTGTGTAAAAGTATCTCATGAAATATTTTTAACAAAACTGTTGTTTCTTCTTATTTTTCAAATTTATGACATATACAATTTGCTGTACTTTATTCTTTATTTATTTACTTACGTATTTTAGCTATTCTTAATTTATATTTAGCAGAAATTTAACACCTGATATTTCAAGCTTTAATAAGGAATGTATGGACTTTCTCTAGAATTGTCTCTGAATCCATATTTGTTAGATGCAGTATGGTCAGTATGGTAGTGTGGGTGTATATTGACTCCTACAGTTTGTCAAGTGTCAGAATGAAATAAATATTCAGAGAACCATAAATTATCTCTCAACAACACAGTTATATTTGTTTAGATTAACACTTCGGTGCTTTTCCATTCATCACAGGAAATTAACTTTTGTTTTCATTTTGCCAGTCCCTATGAGAACCTTTAACCATATCACTATTTCAGTCGGATTTTTTTTATGCTGAAAAATCTTATTTTTTTTCTCTCTTTCTCTGTCAAACTTGGAATAGCTCAGATACATGGAATAGCTCTCCCTATCCACACAGTTCATAATGACATTTTAGTGCAGTTGTTGGTGGCTGTAAGAGTTAGGACTTTACATTCCCAGAGCTCTAGAATTAACTAATCAATACCTGACATTCACTGAGGTCTAATACTAGCATTAGTCTTTTCTTGCAATTAATTCATACAGCTCTAATCTCAAGAGTGCATTGAGGTTTTATAAAAAAGACCTATTTAAACAGGAAGTTTCACACTCTTGTGATTAGTCACATTTCAAAGTTTCTTGCTGCTTCAGAATGTTTTGTTTGTATGTGTTTCCTCAACCACTGCCATGTTTTTCTTGGTTCACCTCATAGAGGCTTCTGAGGTATTCCAGACGGGCCTAAGGAAATTGGGCAACACAACAAAAAGGGGAAAAAAAATCAGTTTTGGATTTAACTTGGTGACAGAAATTTTGTACGCTTTCCAGATATGGTGGTAAGCTCTGAAATTGAAGATAAATTCTTAGATCATGGCTCACAGAGATTCCTTTAGATTACCATTTCTCATTTTTGGATCGCTGGCTTTTGTGCTTCCTCATGATTCAGCCACAACACAGTATCCCTAAGTCATTTTCTAAGATGAAGTTTCTTTGGCTTTGCTTTTATTTCACTGCCAAAAAAACCTCCACTTTTCAATGTGTGCCACAAACTTTATTTTGCACTTATGTCAAAGTATTTGCAAAACTTGGGACATGGGGATTTTTCGCTGCTCGGAATTTGTACTCAAAGAGTTAGCGTGATTAGCCATGTTTGCAGTCAGTGGGTTTGATCTTCTTTTCTCTAGAATGTACTTTTTTTGTAACTTCTGGGATGCTGGACTAGACAGGGATGCCTTTTTATATGACATAGAAAATCCTACTTTGCAGTTGCCTCAAGAGATATTCATACTAAACCTCTGGGTAGAAATGAATGTTCATCATGTTGCAGTACACTGGATAAACAATGGAAAGGCTTCAGTGTAGCTTCAATAGGATTAAATGAAGCAATACATTCTTTTGGCCATGATCAACTCAACAGTGTTTGGCTGGCCTTCACTAAATACCAGTGGTTTCTTATTTCTCCACAAGCAAAACTTACTTATGGAAAAAGAAATACATAATTGGCAGGTTGCTACTAAACTCAGTGATGTTTGAGGGTAGTTTCCATTTTTCAGAGTTTACAGAAATAGTTTTTGTACCTACAGCATATTGAACAATATGCTGTAAATAAAAGAATTCTGATAATCAAGTGTAAACATAAAATTGTGTAGACAAGCTCTTGAATGAGCTGTGAAGGATGCCCATTCAATCCCTCCAGGAAAGGGAGAGTTTATAGGTTTCTTCAGTATCATCTTCTGCTTGACACTGGTTTAGCAAAACCATTAATTGATTAAAGATGTTTGTTAAGACTTTGCTCGGAACAATGATATAATGTGAGTATTTAGGGTCATGCTGGTGTGAATCATAGCACAGACATTTTTGCAAGAAGTCACAGACAAAAGTCTTATGACTCCAAGTCAATAATGGAAGGGTTGGAAGTATCAGAGAAAGACTTCTAATTGAGCTATGTGAGACAGGAAAGTTTAAGTTGAACTGTTTGTGAAACAGAATCCCTCTTGAAAGGAGCTGGGGTCTGGCAGAGCACTACCAAGTAGAATAATCTTGCTAATGATGAATGCAGGGGTTTTTTAAGTATTTATTGCTAATCTTAACAGATAGTTCCATACATTTTCCGGAATGTGGATGAATATGCCAGAGAGGATAGAGCAAGCAAGATAATAAGAATTCAACTTTGTGAACAATCCTAGAGCATTAACATAGAGCATAATTTCTAATAAGAGCCAAAACAAAGTCCTTAGGATAAATATGAGCCCAGAAAAATAAATCGGCAAGGATGTCAGATGAGAGAAACAACCCATGTCTGAGCTGAGTTCTGGTTCTTCTTCCTGGAGGGAACTGACGCTAGAGCATTTTCTTTTAAAGAGTTCCTACCAGAGCTGTTCTACTTTGTATAAATAATTAACTCCTAATTGAAGCCAGAAGATGACTCTAAAGCCTGGGATTAGGCTGAAGTCCCCTCTCTGCTTGTTTCCTGGTATGCCCAATGAATAGTTTACTGGGTGCACAATATGGAATAGCTTTTAGCAATGAGGGCAGAACAGGCGCTCCTGCCTGTGGTTAAGGGGATGCCCAGGGAAGTGAAAACCCAGATTCTAACATTGCATCACATCAGGTAGGTTGAACACATGACTCACATATCCCCAGACAGATTCCAAATCTCTCAGAATATGATTCATTTGGTGTAATTTTAGCCACCTAAAAGCAGGGTGTTCAGTCTGAATTACTGACTACAGAGGAAACCTAAGAATAAATGCCGTCCTTTAAGAGTAGAAGTCAGGTGAGGTAAATCTCTCCCCAAGCGACTGGCTATTTTGTGTCTGTGGTTTTGATCAGAAATTCCATCCTAGATGTAAGAATGGCCCTCATCAAAATAAACAAATTTCCATCAAGCACTTTTTATTGAACAAATAATTTTCCAATTGGAAAAAATACTGAGTTGAAACACTTCTGAATATCTCCAGTACTCTGAGGAGAGTTTCACTGCTCAGAAATATGGTAAGAGGAAAAAAATTAAAGCTCAGGAGCAGCAATAAAAAATGAGGTAGTGGTAGCTGAAAAATAAAAAGAAGTAAATTAGCATAAGTACATGGAGAACTGACATAGTTCTGATTTCTTCACAGTTTCCTTTTAGTTTCAAAGTCAGTTTGAGTTTTCAGAGTTGAGTTTTCTAAGATGGCTTTTAGTTTCTCATGAGGCCCAGAATGCCTCAGGGATGATTATTTAGATGGTTCTTCATTATATTTAAAGAAGCATCCAAAGTATTCATGGACTTTAGTTACTTCTAAGGCATAGAGGAATGTATAGACAACCTTTTTAGATGTAAATAAGTTGTTATGGGACTCCCTCAGCAACTCCATATTACTTCTCTTTCAAATGAAGATGAGTTGCAGGCCCTTTCATCATCTTATAATCAACAAAATGACAAGAGGGATATTGGCCAAATTGCAATTAAGTATCAGATTTTGTCTTCTGCCTTTGTACTAATTCTGTAAAAAAGCAGATGACAAAGTTTGTTATCTTCCCATACCAATCTCTTGGATTTTTTTTTCAGCAGGCAGTTTAGAAGAAAAAAACATATAGAAATTGGTCCAGAAGCACAGATATTTGCCATCAAGCTGGATTTTGAAAGTGCAAAAACACAGTTGGGTTTATTTTATCAGAAGTGATAAGTGTAGCTATTCAATACTTCATTTCCCTTACTGGAATATACAAAGTTTTGGCCCAAGTCTGAAGTGTTTTTTTGTTTCTTTGAGAATTTCCTTTGTTAATTATCAGTCCATATTTGTAAATGATCTAGAGATGAAAACTCTCTGAAAGATGGTAAGTCTTGTTCATCATGACTGTGCATGTTTCCTACAGTGCCCGGGAGGAGCCTTCACACCCAATGTGCGGACAACCAAAGAGTTTCCTGATGATGTTGTGACCTTCATTAGGAATCACCCTTTGATGTTTAATCCCATTTACCCCATCCACAAGAGGCCATTAATCATCCGGATAGGAGCTGACTACAAGTATACAAAGATTGCTGTGGATCGAGTGAACGCTGCTGATGGGAGATACCATGTCTTGTTTCTTGGAACAGGTAGGACAAATTTGGCAGCATTCATTTTCCTCTGTTGCAATCAACTCTGGTTTTTACAATTTATAGCTTTCAGAAATAGTTGTTTAAATGTTTGGAATCTACAGAAATATTATTGAAATCCACGAATTATGTTCTTTTTACTTTCTGTGTATTTTTCTTTTTGCCATAGACATCATTATGTGCAAGAGGTGCAATGTATTGATCTTAATTTTGAGATAAAAAACAACACTGGTATATATTTTATTGGATCTAAATTATAATATTTCTCTTGAATGTGGTTGTGTGCAATATGATTCAAAATTAGATTTTGATGATCTGTAACACAAGAAAAAAACACCAAAATCTAGCTTTATAATTTTTTTTTATACTCTCATCATCATTATTTAATATATGCTGTGTAAGCTACATCTGAAGAAAAGCACGACATGATCAAGATGTTGCAAAGGCAGAAACAACTCCTTCAGAAAACAGTAGTAAGATGGAAGTACTTAGCAGAGAAAAACAAACAAATGGCTGGAGTCCTAGCAGTAGTGGACACAGAGAGCTTGATCCAAGTTTTCTGAAATAATTTCTGGCTAAGATAACCTGTATTTTGATTTTACTTACATCAAATTTGAATCAGGTGCTACATCTCTGAAGTCTGCAGGGAACAGGTTAAGTGATTCTTGTACTGATGAATTTAGATTTTTTAAAATATTCTGATATGAATCACACACTTTAGATTGAAGCAGACAAGTACAGTGGTACTCTGACTAGACCCTAGGACTCACTCACATCTGAAACTCCCACTGGTTTAACAGGGCATTAGAGGTCAATAAGCACAAAGGCTAATCTTTTTTACTTTTTTTTTACTTTCAAGTAGAAAAAGGAAAAGAACTCTAGGAGAACAAATATATGTCTGAACATCAGAAAATGATTACAGAGATGGCTTGCATTGCTTTTATGGTTCACATATTATTGGGGCCCTGATTATTTTCTGCTTGTAGAATAACTGTGTCTGCCAACAAACTCACATGGGGCTGGGAATAACCATATTGTTATATTAGATTTAGGAAGTGGGTGCTAAAATATCTCTTAAGAATGTCAGGCTTCTATAGGGAAAGGATTAAAAGTAACTCTCTTCACTCAGAAAAATCTCTTCAACTATCAAAATCATCACAGTGCCTAAGTGCCAAAGGAGGCCAACTGCACACTGTGCTGTGTGTGCAGAAGTGTATCCAGCAAACAGGTTGATGGAAATATTTTTTTTCCTGTATTTGGCTCCAGTTGGAAGTACTGTGCCCAGCTGTGGGCTCACCAGTACGAAGAAAACATTGACCTAATGGAGCAAGATCAGTTGAGGGACTATGTGATGTGATGTATGAGAAAAAGCTGAGAAAATTGGTTTATTCAGGGAAAGCTAAGGGGAGACCTTAATGCTGTTGACAACTATCAAATGTGTGGGTACAACTACCTAGTGGGAAAAAAACAGATGGGGACTCTTCTCAAAGTGCTCAGTGCCAAGGTGAGGGATTTCACACAAGTTGCAATGTGAAACAATGCTAGAAGATACAATGGAAAAAGTTTTTTGCCATCAAAATGATCAAATAATGGAAAAGGATCCAGAGAGGTTATGAATTCTCCATCTTCAGGGACTCAAAATGTACAAAACCCAACAAACACATCATTGAGCAGCTTGCTGTAGTAGGACTTGCTTTGAGTGTGGGATTGCAGCAGATGTCTTCTACAGGCAACAGGTTTCTGCAGTTCAGTGAAAGGAAAAGAAAAAACCACTTAATTCATGTGAGGTTATGGATGGAGAAAATGCAAAGGGTTAAAGCCCAGCAAGAACTCAATCTGGTTACTGCTGTAAAAAGAAATAGAAATGTTTCTATAAATACATTAGCAGCAAAAAGAAGAGTTAAGGAGAATTTCCATCCTTTACTGGAAACAGTGAAAGGCTGAAGTACATAATAACTTCTTTGCCTCAGTCTTTAGTAGCAAGACCAGTTCTGGAGGCTCCCATCTCCTGAGTTGGAAGGCAGGAATAAGAAGCAGAGTGAAGCTTTCATAATCCAAGAAGAAAGGGTCACTGACCTGCTATACCCCTTAGATACCAACAAGTCCTTGGGGCTGGATGGGATCCACCCAAGGACACTGAGGAGCTGGCAGAGTGCTCTCCAAGCCACTTCCCTTCATTTAGCAGCAGTCCCAGCTAACTGGGGAGGACCCAGCTGACTGAAAGTTATGTGATGGCCATCCACAAGAAGGAGCGTGTGGGGAACTACAGACCTGTCAGTCAGACCTCAGGGCTGCAGAAGGTTGTCTGTCAACCTTCTGATCATCTTGAGTGCCATCACATGGCGTGTGCAGGACAACCAGGGGATCAGACCCAGCCAACATGGGTTTGTGAGAGGCAGGTCCTGCTTGACCAGCCTGAGCTCCCTCTGTGACCAGGTGATCCACACAGTGGGTGAGGGAAAGACTCTGGCTGTTGTCTGCCTGGACTTCAGTAAAGCCTTTGACACCATTTCCCACAGCAGTCTCCGGGAGAAACCGGCTGATCATGGCCTGGATGGGAGCACTGCTCACTGGGGATAAAACTGGCTGGACAGCTGGGCCCAGGGAGTGGAGAGGAATGGAGCAACATCCAGCTGCTACCTGGTCCCAGCTGGTGTTCCTTCAGGTCTTTCCCAGCCTAAATGATTCTATGATTCCATGTTTTTCCACCAAACCTTTACCAAGTCTCCATCTGATGCAGAGTGAATACTTAGTATCTGCTAAGGCATAGTCAGGGCAATGAATTATTCGAAGAATTTAATAAGGTTTTGATCTGGGTATTTTTGTTTTCTTGTCTGGAAATTGATAAATGAGCTTTAAGGTATTCTTGACTCTTTCCTAGCTGCAGTTGTTGGAAAATACTAAATTAACCTAAATAGGATAGGACTTTCTATAAGGTGGGTTCTTCCTCTCCTTTCCCTCTCCCCACCACTAACACAAACCCACATTTTCTGTTTAGTTTAATTAATGCAGATACAATTTTTGACTTTGTGAGCTGTTAGGATATTTTTTCTCCTTTCCTGCAGAAGTCTTCTTCCACTATAGAAATATTGAAAGTGTTGATAGAGAGCATCCCTACTCTTGCTATAAAACTGCACAAGAAAACTTGGCAAAAGAGAGGTTTGACTTTACTGTTAGTTTTCTTCCTTGACAAATCACTATGTTTAGTCAAAGTAATAGATTGGTAGGCTAGTGCAGATCTTTCAGATGAACTTTTTTTTTTTCAATATAGTGCTGCCATTGTTTTTAAATGCTTTGTAAGCACCTAATGTTATTTAGAGGCAAATTCTACTGAAGCTTAGTGGAAAAGATTGAGACATAAGCTCCCAAACCATATAGATTGTTAATGTAGCAATGATAGTTAAAGCTAGAAAACTATTGAAAAGCTGAAATGTCCTCGAAATCACAAATTGATAGTAAGCATTTTAATAACTCTGCAAGAGGTAAACATTTAGGTAATAGGTAATTTCATTTTATCCTTTGATGATCATGTGACTGTTTTTAGGTGATCAATGTGGCCTCATACACACACATGAGTTGTTGAAAAAGTAAACATATTTCAGGTTGTTCTTATGTTAATCTCCTCTGTGTACCAGCACAGGACCCATTATGGATCAGATACAGAAAGTGCAGCTCTTGATACTTTATATATTCATTGCTTTATCTTCTTCATTACACTGGAGACAAGGATCATTTTCTGCTTTCTAGTGAGATGGAGGGCAGGCATTATTCTTCCTGAGCAGGGCACAGGACATTAATACCTTCCAAGGTCTTCCTCCAAAGAAATCGTTGCAATGCAAGTTACTGCATTTCTCGGCCCTTTAAAATAAAAGTGATCAAGTTTCAGCCATTGAGAGGAGAAACTTGTTTTCTTTATTCTCTGCTTTCTGTGAGACTCAGGAGGATTTGATAGAGATATTAAGTGTCAAAAGGAATGTAGAGGGGATTTGCTTTGGTGTCAGTTCATCCCAGCAAATGCAAAAACCACATTGTATAGGAGAATTTCATGTGATAATTTCCTTGGGAGCCTGGAGCCCCACAACCAGAGACAATGGGACTTGACACCTGGTGACAATTACCCTCAGCTCAAATGATGAGTTACTGCTGCTGAACTGAGATGTTTCCAGCCATGTCTGTCACTGTCAGTGACCTGTCTCATGCTTGAAATCAGAGTGTTTTATGTCTTGCCAGATGCAAAGCACACAAAATGTTTAGCTCTTCCTCTCTTCCTCCTCTATAGCCTTAGTAATAAATCAGTTCCTGAATGCAAGTGAAGAATAACAGAAGTACAGAGCTCCGACAACCCCAGTGGTTTTCATCATGTAGCTGTGGCACAGGAGGGTATAGGCAGCTCTGTAATTTTTTCACCTTGGTGTGAACTAAATGTAGTGTTCCCTTTGCTCCCACGGACAGCAGTGCTGTGCTCCCAGGGGCTGCTCCATACCCAGAGTTAATGCGCTGCTTTTCTCCCTTGCTCACCTGCATAGCAAACAAAGTAAATCCCAGGGACAGACATTGTTCATGTGGCATTCCATGCTTTTCAAAGGATTACAATCTCCTGTTTTTCCTATGCTTTTAAACAAAGACTCCCAAAGTGCTTCACAAAACTCACTAGTTTTGTTAGGTCTTCCCTAAGGGATCTCTTCAGCCCTGTCTGGCATGAGCTGACTTGGAGTAAGGAGTCTAGACTGGTAGTAAGCTGCAAGAGAAAAGTGCTGCAAGAGAAAAGTGCTGTCTACCTACCTTGTCTTTCCAAACAGAAATCCAAGACATCATTTATTTGGAAAGAATATAATCACTCATTTGCAGGTTTGACTAGATCAATGCTGATGGCATTTTTCCCTATGCAAGGAGAAATAACATATTCAGTTCAAGAACTTGGGATTAAAGTTCTGTTTCAATTATTCCCTTTCTGGGATGGGGCAGGACTCAGTCCTGAGTTTTTTTGATTCACCCTAGAG